GACCCCTTCGCCTGCTGCTCCTACGGGGCTGGAGGGCCTAGCAGATCCTGTCGTTCAGGAACGACTCATGAGGGAGACGATACTTCTGTTCCTCCTTGAGCCCCCGGATATCGAGGCCACGAGGGCCAACAGGGAGGCTAAAGGCAGCGGGATGATCGGCGGCGAGGTATACGCCGGTGCTCATAAAGCAGCTGCTGCATCCTGACGCCGCGCCTCCAAGGCCGTCACCACCCGCCGCTCTCGCCGCTCCCGCCGCCGCTCTCGCCGCCGGCTGCGAGGGGATTCCTGCGTGAGACACGGAGACATGGATAGTCACCGTCTCACTGGTGATGTACGTACGTACACCTGTACCCACCGCCGTGGATGCGGCAGCTGCTTCCAACCTGGGGGCATACACCCCCCCGCCGATCATCCCGCTGCCTTCAGCCTCCCTGTTGGCCCTCGTGCCCTCGATGCCCGCGGGGTCGACGAGCGATAGAAGTATCATCTCCCACATGAGTCATTCCCGAACGACAGGACCTCGTAGGCCCTCCGGCCCCGTAGGAGCAGCAGGCGAAGGGATCGACGGCTTATCCCACGTCGGCGGCGGTGACTCGTCGTGGGACAAGCTGTCGAAATTACGTCTGCTGCTCCAACGGCGCTGGAGGGCCTAAGAGATCCTGTCGTTCAGGAATGACTCATGAGGGAGACGATACTTCTATCCCTCCTTGAGCCCCCGACCTTTGAGGTCACGACGGCCAACAGGGAGGCTAAAGGCAGCGGGATGACTGGCGGCGAGGTATACGCCGGTGCACCTAAAGTAGCTGCTACATCCTGACGCCGCGCCGCCAAGGCCGTCACCGCCCACCTCTCTCGCCGCTCCCGCCGCCGCCGCTCTCGCCGCCGCCACCAAGGGGATTCCAGCGTGGGACACGGGGCTCTCGATAGTCACCGTCTCACTGGCGGTGTACGTACGTACACCTGTACCCACCGCCGTGGATGCGGCAGCTGCTTCCAACCTGGGGGCATACACCCCCCCGCCGATCATCCCGCTGCCTTCAGCCTCCCTGTTGGCCCTCGTCACCTCGATGCCCGGGGGGTCGAGGAGGGATAGAAGTGTCGTCTTCCT